TATTATTACTATTATTATTATTATTATTATTATTACTACTACTACTATTTGCATAATTTATTTCATGACTGAATCGCTTGTTCACATTCGGGGATTCCCACTGATTGACAATCAAAATGAATGTAACAGAAAATCGCCATATACCGGAGCCCGCTATACCGGGCTGCAGGGTGGATATGATCAAAGCGGCAGACCGGTAAAGCAGTCTGCCGGGTTGAATGGGGTGAAAGCCGCAGTATAGTGTTGAAAGGGCTAAGATAGCGTCACACTTCTGTTTTCACCATGGGTGGCGGCGGGGGAGTGGCAGACACACTCCACCATTACCATCCATGTTTACTTCTGCAAACACTGAGCACACTCGTTGTGTGTGACGTCGCTGTGTCCTCTTCTGCGCAAGCGGGACACTTTGGGTTGTATGATGTTCACACAGGAGATCACACTCAAGTTGCGTTTAATTGGAAATGTGAACGAACGTGCAAAAAAATCAGATTTCCCAAAAATCCAAATTGAGCATTAAGTCCTGCAGTCTGAACGTAGCCAATCTGCCGGATTGTTAAGTCAGATATCGGAATTCAAGGCTGTCGGTATGTTAAGGCTATTTTCTATAGGTTCTGTTCGTTTTTCCTAAAAACCTGTCGGATAGCAAGGTTTTTCGGATTGTTAAGGGTCGGATTATCAAGTCGTGACTGTAATTCAGGCTCGTGTTCCAAATGTAAACATAGAACCCTAGCTGTTTCCATCCAAGCTTGGATATTCTGAGAAAAATAGAAAGTTAATTTCTATATTTTAGGCCAAGGAAATATGTGCTGCATCAAAATATCTGTATTTATTATGGAGGGCAAACACATAAATAGCCATAAGGTGTCACGGAGGTAGAGATTTTCAGTGATTTAAATAAATGTTTTCTCTTTGTGCAGATAACTCTCATGACTCTAGAGAGCAGTAAGATCTCAGTGCTGTTGGGCACATTGGATTTCAACCCTGACGTTGGCCAGAAGACATTGATCGTAGCAAACTCTGTTCAGGAGGTTGAAGATGTGTTTAAGGTGATAGCTTCAGTTATACTTCACAGAGTATGGCAGTGCGATAAATTTTTGTTTTTGTATTTGAATGCTTAAACACCTCAATCACAAAGTCAAGATATGTACAATTGCATAAGCTGCTTTTTTCACTTTAGCAGCATAAGTAAGGAAAAGTAGTTCTATTACTTTAGTGATATGGAATAGATGGATTGTGCAAGGTCTGATGTCAAATAGTCACTGCAAAGAAACAACTGTTTTGGAACCTGAAAATAGGACAACCCCTGATTTAAAATGATTCGCCCCTTTTCCAACATTGTTTTTTGAGAAGAAGATTCACTTGTACAGTCCTGTAAATAAACCTGTTATGAATCCCTAATGCAAAGAAAAGAAAGCTGACCTCATTGAAGCATATTTTCTTGTTCAAGGGAAGCATGACTATTTCATGCAGTGATATATAAAACCCACAGTTGTGTTCTGTTAAGGTCATGAACCACACACAGCATCATTTTCTCTGACAGCTACCAGTTTTCAAACAATCTTTATGACCTCATTTTCTGTGAGGAATAAAAATAGCAGCATTAATGTAAGGCAGTACTCTGACTTTCTCTGTCCTTCAGGCTGTGAGCAACAAATCTGCGTTCTGCCTCAAGACCCATGAGGGGTTAACACACCAGTTTGACTTTGCCATCCAGCAGTGGAGAAAAGACGTTGGCCCTGGCAGCCATGTTATTCTGGGTAAATTTAATATTTTTCAGGATATCAGGACTGTTGGATAGAGAACATTGTCAACAGGAAAAAAATTTTCAGCCATTCACTGAACTTTCAACACAAACAGTGCTGCTGTACATCATTGTTTTTGTTGTTTGGCCTTTAATCTGTAGTGACCACCAATGACTGTGTGAAGTGTCTGGGCATCAGAGATGCAACCTGTGTTGTCCACTATGGTTTTCCCACCTCTCCCAAACTGTTTGGCAGCCGACTCTTCTGCATGGCTGAAAACTTCCGAAACCTCTCAGAACAAGTAAGGACAACTAAATGGATGTGGAAATTCACTGCATACAATCTTCTTGTCTTGTTTACACTAAGTGAGCACTTTTTTAGAAACACTTGTATTCATCTAGTACCAACCAACAGTTCAGGTAAGATAGCATAAATAGAGAAACGTCCATGGTGAGAGCGGGATGTGATGGTGCAGCAGGTTAAGCGGACGACTGTCATTCGAGAGAGTGGAGATTGAATCAGAAGGGAAGCACAAATGAATATCGGCTTTTAGCTTGACTGTCTTTTTGTGTTTGAGCTTCATGCTTGTTGGGTGGGAAGAGCTCAGAACAGAGAGGGCAGAGCTGCAGGGAGAGCACTTTGTATTTTCATTCTGTCTTTTTAAAATATATTTTAACAATTTTTGTTTGTATTTGTTGCTGGTGTTTACTTTAGTATTTCTGCCACTTAAAGACCACTGTTATAATTTTCCTGCTCGTGAGTAGGCAAAGGTCTACTAGGGTCCTCATGACATAAATCTCGTTACATCCTTAAGTCAACAAGTGCCTGCATGACTGTGCAACCCAAAATTTGCGTTGGTGTGCCAAGTATGCGACAAGGGCAGTTGTGTGCATGCTCTGAATATATGGACGCTGATCTACTGATTTGTGTTTGGCACAGAGTCCTCAAAGTGGACTAGAGAGGAGTTAGTAACACCTGCCAGACTGTGTTGTTCACAGCTGTGCATGTGTGTGTCTGCAAGGGAGTAAAGTTAAGGCTTAAGCAAGATGGGATACAATGGCGAAACACTGGAGACTGGAAAAAAGCAGCCTGATCTCAGAACCATCTTGTAATTACTACCTACGGCATGATCATGAAGTAAAAGTCCTCCCAAACTTTATAAAAGTGACAGTGAGTTCAGTAGACTTCAGTGGCCTCCCCAGTTGCCAGATCTAAATCCAGGTAAACACCTTTAGAGTGTGCTAGAACAGTGATTTGCATCATGAATGTACATAGTTAAAAAGCTGCAAAATTATGTGATTCAATCATGTCAAGGTGGAGCAGAATCTCAAAGCAATGTTTCTAGCGTCTTGTAGAATCCATACCACCAAAAATGTAGTGTCTTTTGAGAACTATTAGCACAGTTTCCCAAATGCAGTGTTAGGTGAGTGCGTATGATCATTGCATTGTATTTTATTCAGATTTTACTATTTTTCCTATAATTGCCTTTCTATGGTTTGTCCCCAGGGTCAAATAGAATGCTGCCCTCATGTTGCCCAGTCAGTGCTGCTCATTTCAGACAGAAACGCCCGCCATGTGGTTGGGATTCTGCGCTACCTCGGACGAACTAATGCCCTGCTGCCCCCCGAGCTGCTGTCCTTCGCCCAGGGCATACAAGAGGCCCGGGAAGACCAGAAGATGAACAGCCCTCTCTGCAGCTATGTGAAGAGCTTTGGAGTCTGCAGGTCTTTTTTCCCCACTTCTTTAAAAAAATGCTAAACTGATTTAGCACTGATTTAGATTTTGGTTTTTGTCGATGTAGTCAAGAAAAAATGTTTACATATCACTTCTGAAAACCATGTATATCATGGCAGTCTTGAGTTTCCAACGACTTTTATACCTCCTAATTTTCTATGATGCAATCATTGAAACTTATGTGTCTTTGTCACAAAACAACACATCCAACAGGGCCATGCATATGTTAATGCATTACGCTGTATGAGCAGCTCACTAGAATCAATACATGGAAAGACCCAGTGGATTGCTAACCAGAGTCCTGAGCTGATTTTTATCAGTAAAGTTGTTTTTTAAATGAATAGAAAGTCAGTTTACAAAACAACGGACAATGTTTTTGGTCTAAAATCAAAAGTGCCAAACTAGTAGCAGTATCTTAATTGAGAAGGATATGAAGCCATGATGTTTTGGAGGTATGACATAGTGGTGGTTTTCTATTCTATTCTATTCTATTCTATTCTATTCTATTCTATTCTATTCTATTCTATTCGTTCATTCATTCATTTATTCATTTATGAAAATTTGGAAAGTAAACAATTGGAAAGATGAAAAATTATTTAAAGAATTAAAAAGCGGAACATCCTGGGTCTTTAATAATCTCTATGGCTGCTCATTATACTAATTAACGCTTTCTTACTGAGATGATGAGCCACCCAGTTTAACCGGTTGTGGTAAACTTTGTTTGTGCTGAAAATGTGCACATTTTATTGCATCTGCTGGGCGTGTAAGTGACCTTTTTATTCCACTGAAAGAATACAGCCACTACATGCACAGAGCTTTTTGTGTGTACGGAGCTCAATTTAAAACTCTGTGTTTCTGCGTCTCCAAGTTGTTGTAAATGCACACCAACTCAACTTGAAGGGCCTCCACCATCATTAAAGTCACCTTTTTAGAAACACAAAGGCTTCTCAGTTAACTGCAGTGACAATCAGACAAAGCTACAGTATGTCATAAAAGTGAGTACACCTCCACATTTCTGCAAATATTTTATTCTATCTTTTCATGGGACAACACTGAAGAAATGACACTTTGCTACCATGTAAAGTAGTCAGTGTACAGCTTGGATAACAGTGTAAATTTACTGTCCCCTCGAAATAACTCAATACACAGACATTAATGTCTAAAAGTGAGTATGTGAAAGTGAAAATGTCCAAATTGGGCCCAATTAGTCATTTCCTTCCCTGATGTCATGTGACTCGTGAGTGTTACACGGTCTCAAGTGTGAATGGGGAGCAGGTGTGTTAAATTTGGTGTTATCGCTCTCACACTCTCTCACTACTCACTTTTGTGACATACTGTGTATGCCAACATTGGCTAACTGTAGCTGGTCGAACTTGCTCATTCATTTAAGACGGCATCACAGTGATATAAGAACAAAAAAAGTGAGTGCTGTACAAACACAGCTCCCTGTGGTGTTTAAGTATTTATGTTGGAGGAGATTTTTTTCATTGTGCTTAAAATGCACTGAACAGTGACCTGCAAACTGAGGTACGTACTGAACTGAGGTGTTTGTGTTAGACCCCATCTATCTATCATGGTTGAAACCCACTAGTCCAGGTCTGTCTCAGTTTGGAGAAAACAGCTTTCTGATCATTACTGATTTAAATGGATTTGGGTGAAATTAAGAGCAAATGATAGACGCAATGTGATTGTGTTTGTGTCTGTCCCGCAGAGACAGCAGTGTGTGTCCTGACCGTCACAGATTCATTTCCCAGCTGGATCAGTCTGAGCTCCCTGCATCTGGAGTCATAGAAGTAAGGGTGCTAACATGTCTGTTTGTGTTGCGTCAGTTTTTCATTGTACATGGCTATCAGACATTTCAGCCACTGCTTTCCACAATATTCTATCTGTAAACACCAAAATATTAAGGAAACGATAATGAAGTTATAGTGGTCACACATTTTCAAAAAGTACAAATATTATCCCAGCTTTTGCACCTCACTGATCATGCAAGTCCGTTGTTCTGTTCTTTGCAACCAGTGATATCTGTGAGTATCATCTATAAGTACAGATATAACTTGGATCTGTGTGTCTCCCAGGTGGTACCTCTCTACATTAAGACGGCATCAGTATTCTACGGTCGTATTGTGAAGAAGGAGGACAGACGTTTTGACATAATGTCCTCTGAGATGGCTTCTTACTATGCTGACAAGAAACCAGGAGCCAAGGAGCTACTGGAAGGAGGCTTGTATGCTGTGCAGGAGGAAGAGGTCTTCCACAGGTCTGATACTAAAATCTAAATACAACTCTATGAGGTGATCACACTGAAACTGTCTCACAGAAGACCCATGTAGGTCGCAACACTTAAAGTACAATGATGCTAGTTTGTTAACTAGCTTTAAGTTAGTTCTTTCACTTTTGGTATTAGTATGAGTTTCTGTGAATAAGAACTCCGCAGATAGGATGTGTAACGGCACACAAAATTCTCAGCTTAGTATATATATCTCAGTTTTGGAGTCACAGCATTGTACATTTTTGGTACAGGGAAAACAAAGGCAAACCAGAAACGTGTTTGACATTTGACATGATTATTTACAGACTTTCAAAGGTGTCCAGTTGGCTTTAAGTCTGACTGTAACAATTAAAGCAATCACATGCTGTACACTGTGAATAAGAGAAGAGTGCTCTACTCTCAAGCATTACAGTTTCAGCTTCACAAATGCCCAAAGTAACACTGCCTTTATCTCTTTGTGCTAACAACACACAGCCATTTTTTAAATAAACTTTACTTTAATTGTAGTTGACTGACGGATTGATTGAGTTTTAGAGAAGTCACAACTTATGGTTGTGCAGTGATGTACATTAAATTGTGTAGTGTGCACATCAAACATTTAATCAAATTTGTGCTTTGTCTGCCCAGCTTTAAAGTAAGGTTGTTAATTGTTAATCAATAATTGCAATTAATGTTTCAAACAGTTAAAAATATAACTGATAAGGCAGGAGACATGAGGCATACATAACAAAAAATGTACAGTAGACAGACTGTATATATAAAAGCTGGATGGACTCTCCAGGAGCCTCATTTATCATCAGTGCATAGAAAAGGTTCTAAATTGTGTCTTACGAATGAAATTTAGAGAGTGCATAAATACAAAAAACATCTGTGTTTATCAAACATGCGTACGTGGGTTGTATGCACATCAGTAAGTCGTCAGTGTTGGTAAATCCCACTTGTTCTTAATCACCATGCTCGTCCACTTTCGGGATCATTTACCTTCAGAAACACTTCCAAGTAACCATACAGTTGAAGACAAAATTATGAGCCCC